TTCTAAGGCCTCAGACCAAAGATAGTGTCGATTTCAAAAAAACAACCCCACATCAAAGCCTTATATGCCCTAATAATGCAGTGTGTTCCAGACTTAAAAAAATCGAGTATGTGTGATTTCATAAAGCTGGACTATTTAAGAAGCGGGAGTTCAGGAAGAGCACCAGCGTCTGTGATCAATAGCTATGAGGAGCAAACCAAAAAACCCCGCCTTTTCTGATGTTTTCCTGAAGTCCAGGAACTTTGGCTTTTGGAATATACCTTCCTGAAAATCACAAAATAACAAGGTGGATGGGGGAATGTTATTAGGGCAGGAAACCAGACTCACTGCCATGCAGACTCATAGTGACCCTCAGGGACAGAGTAGAACTGCCCCGTGAGTTTCCAAGACTGTCATTCTTCACAGAGTAGAAAGCCCTGTCTTTTCCTGAGGAGAAGCTGGTGGTGTTCAGGGGGTTGCCGATCACAGCTGGCTACTCAAAAGGATGCCATTTGGTAAGCAAGCACTGACTAAAACAACATTGTCATCTTGGGAAGACGTTGGATGGCCTAGGGAGGCAGCTAGCTCAGTGTGAGTGGAGGCCGCCCCAGGGGACATTAAAAAAAAAGGCACAAAGTGTTATAGAATTGCTGGCACCTGACTGCCGTTGGGTGGGTGGGGGGGTGCTAATCTGGAGGGGTGACTCTCTGGGGAGGGATCCTGGATGCAAATGCTAATTTATAGATTCCTTAAAATAGAACTGAAAGGACTCCTGCTTGTGCCACATCCTAGCTGAGGCCTGTTTTCCCGCTGAAGGTTATAATTCGATCTCCACTGACCCTGAGTTTATGAGCAATCCCTTGGGAAACAATACCGCTTCTGTTATACCAGCGATGTGTGAGCTAATGTTCCATAAACATGTCTTGTAGCAGAGCAGATGATACGTTTCAGAGCAAACTGGGAATGTTTTTTGGTTGACACTGAAGCTTCACATCTGCACCTAAGGAAGTGGCTTATCTCTCCCTAGCGTCTGGATCAGAGCTACGAGCCACTCCCAAGATTTCAGTGCAGGGTTTGGATGTGGTGATTGCTAGTTTTCGCAGCATGCTTTCTTTTTTTTAAGAGTTTGTCATCAAGGTTGTTTGTAAAGTCAATTTTTCCTACTTAAGTTTTGACTAATCGACACACTGTAGAAAGCCCAGCAAGTGGGTTTTATACTGTTGTGAGATCTTTTAATATGCCCCAAGAATATTGGATTGGTTAAGATACACAGGACTGTCATGGTATCAGTATCTTCCTCCTTCATTTTACGAGGCAGGTGATACTACTTAAATTTAAACCATTTTTAGGTTTGGTTGGTCGTGTTCTTCGTTTTTCTGAGGTCAAGGGGAAAACAGCAAACCACCGCAAACAGGGAGATTTCCCATTTTGAGCTTCATTCAGTAGCTGGCATCTGAGTTTGGTTACAGCCTTGATTAAGCCTTCCTGCAAATAGCCCAGGGCAGGGCTTTAAAAAGGCTCTTTTTCCTTGTTCCTGAACATGTTTCTTTAAAATAGAGTTATAACACACTTGAATACTTCTGACCATACATTAGCATTTTGTTGATTTTACATTAGCATTCAAGTTGATTTTACAAAAGAAATTTGACGAGGTTAGAAGGTTTTAATGTCATTTTAGCTTTGCTTTCTGCTGTGACCAGTGCCATCAGAATTGCTCCTAGGGGATGAAGATGCTTAAGCTCCAGCCACGAACTGCAAGGATGTCACTTCACACTGGCCATCTGCTTCCGCAGGGTCCCGGGCTGAAGACCCAGTGGACGGCAGGTCTGCGCGGCGCATGGTGTCCACTCAGTGCCAGCTACCCTCAGCAACAAGTACAATCAGAGACTCAAAGCCCTGGGATCATTTAGACTGATGAAAAAGTATGGGCCATACCTATTGGAACAGAGGCCCCCGACCTTTTCCCAATGAGAAACTACTTTGGAATGACCTCATCTTGTGAATAGGTTGATGGTGACAGTGGTTGGGAAGGAACATGCAGTGGCTAGCATTGTACTTACCTTTAAAGCTCTTCCTTCATTGTTAGGGGATTTTTCTTTTTCTTTTTGTAAGTTGTTGGAATCGGGGTGGGAATGGCCATTGTATGAAAGAAAAATCTGTATAATTTCCTGTCTACATGGAATTACCAGTCAGCTCATGATGAGTTGGGCATCCCTGTAAAGAGACAATAGACAACATACAGCTTTATCATTTCATATCTGTTTGCCCTTATAGCCATTGCTTCCATAAATTATATATATATTATGGCCGGGTTATAAATAACATGTGAGTGCTCTAGTAGCCCTTGGACAAATGTTTGTCTTTAGCACCTGCACATATGCAGGCACATTATCTGCTCAGTGTTTGCATGATTTAAGAAATGCCCTTTTTGTCTATCAGCGAACGATAGCTGAAAGCAAAGGGAGAGAGGAGGCTCTTGCTCCCCAAGCACTTACTTTTTCACTCCTAGGTAAAAGCAGGTCCTTAATGCACAAAACAGTAGTGGCTGCATTTGAGCTTTTGAGGCCATTTTGCCATTGTTGTTCTAGTCTGGATGGCATTGACTTTATTTTGATATTGCCAAATCTGAAGTATATTACCACACAATAAAACAACATCAACAACAACATCCCAACCCCACCACTGTTGAGTCAGTTCCAACTCCCTGACCAGTTAGTGTACAGCTTCTGATATTTCTGTTGTACAAAGAGCCCTGAGAGTTTGGTAAATTGTCTACTCTATCATTTTGTGTATTACAACCCTCTGTCTGTATTATATAGAACATTGATCCATTTTTACATTTCATTATCATTAGCATTATTTTTGGGGTGTGTGTTTCAAACAGAAGATTGCCTGATGGGTGATTGAGGAGTGATACCTAGGTGTGCTGGCTAAACAAGTGGAATCCTAAAATATTAATGGAGGGCTGCTAAAGTGTCCTTTAGGCAGCTCATTTTTTGAAGGTTAAACATGGGCCCAGATAGGTTATGATTCCCAGGATCACAATGTAAATACCCAATTAGAAACAGATGACCATTAGCCATTTTCCAGACATGGGCATATTGACCCGAGTCATGATGTTGCATTCCAAACACTCAAAACAACCACTTCAGTACAGATCATCTTTTGTTGCAGACTAAGTTAGATTCCAAATTCTCACATCAGCCCTGAAGAGTAAGGGATGCGTCTCCTCATTTGTAGAAGGAGACTGGTGACTTAAAAAGGCCATGACCGAGTCACAGCTTGGCTCCATGTCTCCTGTCAGTGTTGTGCTGTTCTAGTACCCGCTGCTTAACACGCCACAGTGTTTCAAGGATAATTTAAAGGTTGAGAGATGTGTCCAGAGTGAGATGGATTAAGAAATCCATTCAACTACCAGATAGTAAATTATAGTTTGAATATGCTAACTC